GGGTTTATTTAATTTTAAATGCTGAAAGGAAATATTTGAATAAAATATTTTTCATTTATGTCTTGAAAATAATATATTTAATATGTACACACATATGAAAAAGAGTTATAATTAGAAAAATTATACTTGCAATTTTACAATCTTACAAAATAAATAAATAAATAACTTTAAAATACAAACATTATATATATACAGTATATATATATATATATATATATATATATATATATACTGTATATATATAATGTTTGTATTTTAAAGTTATTTATTTATTTATTTTGTAAGATTGTAAAATTGCAAGTATAATTTTTCTAATTATAACTCTTTTTCATATGTGTGTACATATTAAATATATTATTTTCAAGACATAAATGAAAAATATTTTATTCAAATATTTCCTTTCAGCATTTAAAATTAAATAAACCCAATAAAAAGTATAAAGCCCTTTGGAAAATATATTTTTCATTTTTTTTTTTTCTTTTCATTTATCTTTTAAAATTATTTATTTTTTAAGAAATATAATACAAATGTCTTAATAAAATATTAAATTTCATAATTTCAAATGAAGGTTACCAATAAAAAGGATAACACCCTTTGAAAAATATATTTTTCAAACATTTAATTTAAGCATTTAAAATAAAAAAGGTCCGATAAAAGGTCTAAAGCCATTTTAGCCACAACTCAAATTACTTTTTTAAAAATTTATTTTATGAAAAGGTCCTCTTAGTGAAGAATGCAGCATTTTTTTAAGAAAGAAAATAGAATATCTATATAAAATATTTAATTTTAGCATTTCAAATTAAAGTAACCAAATACAAAGTATTAAAGCCAGTAAGTATTAAAGTAAAAAGCCATCATAATCTATCCCAAAACTTAAATGACTATTTAATTTAATTTAATTTCATCCTGGGGAACAGAAATGTTCCCCTTAACTGAAAAATCATCCATTTATGTCACTGATTGTGCACTTAAAATCTCCGGCAGTGGATCAGATGTCGATTACAAAACCAGCGTTTGGGGTTTGTATTTTGAGGTGGTGGTGGTGTTCGAGTCATATGAAGTTATAGCAGCAGTTTGTTCATTTATAGGAGTTTTGAATGGGGTCTAATGCCAAAGTAGTAATGTACTCATAAACCAGGAGGGTCAGGATAGCCTCAGGCCCACGTTTTTTTCCCATTACCTTGGCCTACGTGGGTCTCAGAGGCCTATTGCTGTGGTAAAAGGACATGATATTTCATCCAGGTTTTCTCCTGATAATAAAAGACTGATTCAACATGCCTCAATAGATGAGGCTGGTATGGTGAATGTGCTTGTATTGTTTGGCTGAAGGAACATTGAGTGTATAAACTTGTTTATGATGCTTGTCACTGCTTTTCAACAGGCTTAAATGATTTTAGCAAATGGCTGCAATATAACAAAGAGTGAAAAATTTAAGTGGGTCTGAATACTTTCCGTACCCACTGTATATATATATAATCTGGCACGCATTGTATTTTCTCACATCTCCTTACCTTTTCTGACCCACTTCAGCTCTTAAAGTCCCTACAGTTGAATCGGGTGTGTTAGAGGAGGGCGACAGTGCTGGGCTGCTCCAGGACAGTTTTGAAAACCACTGCATTTCAGAGACATGTTCTTAAATGTGACGCATACATAAATACTAAAAGCTTTAGTTGCCTTTTTTTGGTAACTTCATGACTTAACTGACGACATAACTACGACATTGCATGCTCGTATTTCTTTTGCACTTTAATATGAAATTACATACAGTGCGCGCCACTGCATTTGTGTGTGCAATTTAAGAGCACGTGCTGTGAGCACAGTATAACGTTTTTCCTGCCATACGGCCTGACAACATCTCATCTGACCGCAGTTCTCTGCTGAAGCTCCCTCGACACCTGTAAATGATTTTAGCAAATGGCTGCAATATAACAAAGAGTGAAAAATTTAAGGGGGTCTGAATACTTTCCGTACCCACTGTATATACAAAACAATTTACAAAATATACAAACATCAATTTAAAAACACAAAAAATAAAAATAAAAAAGGACCTATTTCCCCTGTGGCCTGAGCTCGACAGAGGCAGGATTGCAATAGGGACCAGGAAATTAAACACCATCACTTTTTAGGTGGTTTTAGCCAAGGGAATCTCTCTGCTTTGGAGCCCTTCTCATCTCTTTCTGTTGATTAATACTCACTGAAACGCTGGCTGACAATATGCTAAACCAAACCAGAACACAAACAAAGCTCTAATTCAGCAGCTCCAGCAACCAAAAGGAAACATAGCAAATGAAGTTAGAGCACTGTGATCCATTACTTTTCAGGAGCAGGAAATGAAATTAATTTCCAAGGCACAGTAAACCCTGCATCAGCTGCTACAGACGGGAAATGTCACTACACGTGATATAATCCAGTGTTTCCCAACCTTTCTTCACCTTATGGACCTCACAGCCCCTTCAGTAATGTTTGGGGAAATTAATAAGTAAATATTATTTTTTAAATATATATTAATATATACTGTCACCAAGGCTGTGTTTATTTAATCAAAAATTACAATTAAAAAAACAGAAATATTGTGAAATATTATTACAATTTAAAATAACTGCTTTCTATTTGAATGTATTTTAAAATGTAATTTATTCCTGTGATGAAAAGCTGAATTTTCAGCATAATCACTCCAGTCTTTAGAAATTATTCTAATATGCTGATTTGATGCTCAGCAACATTTATTATTATTATCAATGTTGAAATGTTGCTTAATGCTGCTTAACATCTTTTTTCGAAGCTGGGATACTTTTTTCAGAATTTTTGATGAATATAAAGTTTTATAGAACAAAATTTATTTGAAATAAAAATCTTTCGTAACATTATAAATATCCGTATGGTCACTTTTTATAAATTTTATGCAACCTTTTTAAATAAAATGACTTTCTTTGGATGGTTGTGTGTGTGTGTGTGTGTGTGTGTGTGTGTGTTATAAATTATATGTTATATATTATTATATTATTTATTTTAAAATATAAACGATTTAATACAAATATTTAAAATATTACATTTATAGTGTAAAAATGTTATTTTAAAATATTTCATAATATTTCATAAGACATTTGATTGAGATATTGCCATGAAAACAGCCATTGTGAAATATGAGCAACTGTGCATAGATCAAAGCAAATGCTGAAGGCCAAACATCTGCTATAGGAAAGACTTAATTAACAGCCTAAAGAAATCATTTTCTGCAGAATCTGACACTCTGACACTGACCAGTACTTGATGTTATAGCCGAATTTTCACTGCCACCAAGACGAACCCCTGATCAGTGATGATTGATGGCGTTTCTCTTAATTTTAAACAGCACAACAACAGTCCTGGAGAACAGCTGTGCACAATTACAGCAAATTGCACTGTATCTACAGACTGCTAGAATCACCTCAAACGTCCTTCAATCTTGCAGGCACTACAAGCAAACAATATATATTAGATTTTAATCTCTGACTTGACTCTGACACGTTTTCCAGTGTGCGGACAATTTCGGCTACCCGGTTGATTAATCTCCGACTTTCCCATCCCATTATTTTACAAACAAATCAGAGTGAAATCTTGCGTCCAGTCCAAGAAAACACAGAAAGATTGTGTTGGTTTCCAAAAGGGAAAAACTGAGAGGAAGGTTTATCATTAAGCTGAGCTAAGGAAACCTTCAGAGAGAAAAAGTATTGCTGCACTCGGTTGATGGAGGAAGCAGAAAAGCTGGCGGCTGGACAGTGTTGTGTGGTCTCGACTGCGGAGAAGGGCTTCGGAGCAAAGGGTGGCGTAGCATTACATCACATCCATAGGGACTTTATTCACATCACATCATGAACAGAAGTGCTGACTATCTTTTGAAATTAGGAAGATGAGCCATATGACGCCATAGACACCTGTTCTCGTCCAAACAATTGAAGTCAATGGGGCCCAAAACAACACTGAACCCTACTGACCTCGATTTTGTGGAGGGGGGAAAAAAGCACAGAGACATTTTTCAAAATATCTTCTTTTTAACCTCCACAGAAGAAAGTAAGTCAGGTTTGGAATGACATGAGGGTGAGTAAAGTATCATACACAATTATTTTCTCAAGTACTGTAAACATGTATAGTTTAAGGCGAGACATTACATGCAAAAAACTTTTTCATGCACTCATCAATTCTGAGATTTTGGGTTATTTGGCTTTTGATAACAAATAAAAACATGCAAAATGCACTTTTTTAATGTTTATTTTATGCCAAATAAGTTTCCCCCC